CAGGCCAGGAGTGCAGTTTCTTTCCCACGGAGGGCGCGCCATACAAATGAAATTGAAATTCAATAAATTACATAAATAACTGTTCACTGAAACGCAGATTAATAAAGGTTATGTCAAACAAGGCTGCAAGGTGGTTTTGCTATACACACAAAGTATAGAGTATGAAGTATATATCCAACATAATTTTTCTTTTGAAAAATTTGGTTTTGTAATTTTTTTAAAAAAAAATCCCCTTCATGGGTGCCCTTTGAGCTCTGTGGGCCCCGGAACAATGTACTAGCTGCACCCACTCTCCTCAGGCTGGATAAGAAGCTAACAGCTTCTCTTAGCTGGTTAAGACTATGCATATATTAGTGAGAAATTAGATTGAAACTTAAACATTGGTATGTAGTACCAAAGCTCACTCATCTATACTCTGTATTATTTATTTTTCTTACTCATTATTATTTCTAAGTTTAGGATTACCTAACTATTCCATATAATGAAGCAAGTAGAATCTAAGTTCATTTGCTCTTATTTTTCCACCTAATAAATAGTATTTGTTTGTTTGCCCACAAGGAAACCTGATAATCATTTCAGGTGAGGTTTAAGAAGAGATGTATTGTTAAACCTGTAACTTGATATATGTTGTCCTGTGATAGGAGTTGAAAGGTGCCCTTATTTCTTTTTGGGTCTACAAATACTTATGGCTGTTCTCCAGATTCCTAGCCACAAAGGAGCACTTGTAGTATCTGCTCACCTCTACTTAAACACTGTTCCCCAAACCATAGATCCTACTGCATTGTCTCTGTGGCTTCTATCAGTTCATTACTGAGATCAAGAAGTGTAGATCATCCTCTCTCTTTTATAGACATTAGCTAAGAAATAGAACAAACTAATCAAAGGACAACCATGAATCTTTTTTTCCTTTCTCAGTTAAGCTACTAGGTGGTAAAAACTCTAGCTGAATACTGGTTTTTTATGACTATATTAGATTGTAATCTGTTTCAGCAAGATATATTTTCTTAGAGTTTATGTTTTAAAAATTCAATAAATATCACATGAAAGCATCATAACAAATCCATTTCATCTGACTTATGTTGAAGGAGTTATTCTGAGTCCATCAGAGAGCATCTACTTGCAGTGGAAGCTATATATCTGCTCTGGGGACAGCAATCAGCCAAGATTATTATAATCTATTGAATTTTGCTAATTATTTGAGAATAACAGGCCATCAGTCATAAACTGGGTAACATATTATATGACTTATAAAGTTTTCTGCAGTCTTGAATCCACTAGTATTTTTTTAGGCAACAGCTGGCTGTCCATGAAAATATGCTGTTCACCACTCCTTCAATTAATATGGAATGTAAGGAAGGAATGTGAAGGCAGAAGGACCCCAGTGGCTCAAGTGGTGAGGATGCTGGGCTGGTGGTTAGCAAGCTCATGTTTGAGACCTGAGTGCTGCTATGTGGCAAGTTCTGGGACATACCTATATGGGATAGAGAGGTTTGCCACCTCTTGCGGCACAGCTGAGGTTGAAAAAGCAGTAAAAGAGTGCTTTTTCAAATGCTGCACACCCGTGCACAACGCTTATTAGCTGTCCGGGCGGCACTGCTTTAGGTGTATTACATGTGCCTGTGCGTGTGAAGTGCGCATGCACACGCAAAACATAATCACCAAACTGGTAGTAACACCGGTTGAATCCCACCTGACCCAAAGTTATTGAAACAATGGACTTCCAGTGGCCCCATTATGCTAGACTGGAACCACAGAGCCACCTCCATGTTCACAGATGAATAGCAGAACAGTGTGTCTTCTTCAAACCTGTAAAACTACAAGATTACGTATTACTGTAACAGAATTGTACAACTTTGAATGTGTTTCCCCTTTCCCGGACTCGATCCTTAAGAGAACGAGAAAGGGTCCAGTCTGAAATACTTCCTCAAATTATATTTATGCTTTGGGATAGGACTTCTCTTATCTGATCATTGTGTTGGCTGCCGCTTTTCTCTTCTTTCTCAAAATTATTTTTACAGCTCCATTACAAACTGTAATCAAGTAACTTTTGATTAAGATTGAGAGTGTTTTAACAAACTGCATCACTGTTTGGTTTGGTGGCAGCAATGCTTCAGATAGAAGGTCCATACAGAGAGTGGTAAGGACAGCTGAGAAGATTATAGGAAGCTCATTTCCCTTGATTCAGGATACTGCTTATAAACACTATGCACTTAGAGCTCGAAGTATTGTTACAGACCTCACACCCACACCCACTTCATGTTCTGTTTTTGTTGCTCCGCTCCAGGAGGAGGTTTCAAAATATCTATAGCAGGACTGCTAGATTCTGTAGTAGCTTTGTTCCTTATGCTATCCATCTTGTAAACTTGCAGGATTCTTTTTCACTTCACCATCTCTATGTATACATTCGAACTAGACTGTGATATTTCTCTGTGTCATATATGTGTGTGTATTTAGATATATGCATTATTATCTTTTGAGAGCTGAATGCAGCAAAATTTCATTTAATGAATGCATTTAAAGTGACAATAAAGTTTTTATTCTAGTCTATTTTTATTGTATTGTACTCTACCCTACTTTTCTATTCTTTAGAATGTTAAAGGCTTTTCTAATCTGGGGCCCTCCACATTTGTTGGGATTACGACTCTCAAAGTCCTGAGGCACCACAACAGTGTGGACAGTCCCTTGGGGGGCGGGGGGGGAGATTAATTTAAAAAGTAGTAGAATTACTGTGCAATAGCAGTAGCAATAGGACTTAGACTTATATACCACTTCACAGTGCTTTATAGCCCACTCTAAGTGGTTTACAGAGTCAACATATTGCCCCCAACCATCTGGGCCCTCATTTTACTCACCTCAGAAGGATGGAAGTCTGAGTGAGTCAACCTGAGTCAATGAAGGTGCCAAGGTGGGCCTGGGGAGAATAGTAATCAAACAGCAATTTCAGTATTTATAAATCCAGGATCAGCTTTAAAGATTTTGCTGCTTGGAAAAAGCAAGTGTGCCATCCATCAAGAATAAAAACATCTTGGTAAGGCAAATGCTAAGAAGATAAATAGAGTGGACCTAGTATCCAATTCTAATTCTTGATTATTTATTTATTGTATAGCCTCACTGAAACAGATAGGTGGTTACTTGCAAATGATTTATAATCCTGAAAGGCAACATTTCTTTTCACAGTTAAATGAATTTTGGATGCTCTTGAGCAAACTGCGCACGGCGTAAGTGTGCTCTCTGATCCCAAAAGAATATCCCAGGCTTCTTCCCTGAGATGAACCTCTTGCGGCAGGCAGTTGAATAATAAGAGAAGGGAGACTTGCTCTTGTCCTGTGTTTGCTGTGAAAAGAAAGTGCCCTTTTGCCTACCTGCCACCCTTCAATGCATATTGGGAAGGATCGTGGTGCTATGAGCACAGTTTGGTTTCTGCTTAAGGCTCTCCAGTGCTGGATGGTAGAGAGCTTCCCCCAATGCTTGGTTCTTCTTCACGAGATCAAGACCCAGGAAAAAGGCACTTTCCTTCAAGGTGACGATCGCAGCAGCTTAGGCTTTGAAATCACAGGCTGCCCAAGGATATTATTGCCCCTCACATCTAGAGCAATTGAATTGTTTTGAAGGTAACATGCATGTTGAAAAATGCAAATGGCATTCATTGAAAACGGGGAGAAAAATTGATAACTTTGGGGGTGATAGCAGGTAACACTCCAGGGGTGGTATTCAGCAGGTTCTGACCAGTTCTGGAGAACCGGTAGTGGAGATTTTGAATAGTTCGGAGAACCGGCAAATCCCACCTCTGACTGGCCCTGCCCCCATCTATTCTCTGCCTCCCGAGTCCCAGATGATCGGCTGGGTCTTCTTGTGGCCCTGCATAGAAGAACGGAACTGGAAAGCAGGTTAGTGGGGTGGGGAGGCAATGGAGATTTTGCAGTATCCTTCCCCTGCCATGCCCACCAAGCCATGCCATGCCATGCCATGCCCACCAATCGGTAGTAATTTTTTTTTGAATCCCACCACTGCTTTCCTCCTCTGAAAGGGAGAACTTTGATAATGCAACAGGAGGTAATGCCACATTGCACATTACCTCAGTGTAGGTACCAGCATCGGAGGAAGGGAGATATTCCTCCAGCCAAACAGCTGCAGTTCTGTTAATTATCAGCCGCTGCCCTTAGGAGCAACTGTTGCATTTTTAAAGCGCACTTTAAATACAAAGGCAATATCTGGTTTAGCTTTTATTTTAAATGGGTAAAGTGGTTGCCCATTCTCTGCTCATTTCTCCTTTTGCCTACAGCTTTTTATTCTTCGATCCTTACATAATGTCAGAAGAGGTAAGATCTTACCCAGCCTGTTGCCCTTCATTGGACTGTAATTCCATCACCCCAGAATGTGCTTTTCCAATTCTGCACTGTCCACTACTAGCTATAAAAATAAAATACAACAATGTCTGGGTTAGAACAAAGTGCCTCAGTCAATGCCAGATATATGGTTTGCCCCTCTAAACGTGACAATGAAACTCATTGCTTATGCTACCTCATCAATCTGTAAGACAAGAGAATCGGATTTTTTTTATTAAATATTTTTTAAAAAAATATCCAACTCCTCCCAAACTTACCTCACCAATTATTCATTATCAAATCTGATTTTATCAAATCAGAGATGATTTGTAAGTTTCTCAGTTGTAAATTAAAAATGAAAACTCTAATAATTGTGCCTGTCTGAATCGAAGTCTTTGACAAGACTGCAGATGATTGTAGTGTTATAACAGTGTTATAGGCTCACATCTCATCTTTGTGTTCTTGGATCATCATACTATCACATCAGCAAACAAATTGAAAGGGGCTGAGAAGATGTTAAATAGCGAACCAAGATAGGAGGATGTGATCAGTTCTCACAGAGACAGGCAGGCAGGCAGGAAGGAAGAGACAAACTTGCAACCTTGTTGAGAGGCTGTGTGACATGTAAGAGAGTGTAAGAAGAAGGAAAATAAGCTTCCCCCCCCCTCAAGCACCATGAAAATATGTATGCAAATCTTATGCTTCTTTCTTTTACTAACCTTGTACAAATGTGCAGTGATCACTGGGGTAAGTTCTCTCTCTCTCTCTTTTCATTTTTGCTTATGGACTAATGTAATTGTTGAAGAAGTTGTGTGACCACACTGCCTGTAAATTTAGGGTCCGCTTGCTATGAAGATGGAGTGTGAATTTTGGCAACGTGAGACAGAATGTTTTCTAATATTCTTAACTTGGAAGGCTGCATGTCTAATGCAGGTTTAAATAAACTCTAACACTGAGATTTTAAGTTACCATTGAAAATATACAAATCAAAATATAATAAAATAAAAATAAGGAGAACTGATGATTAATTAATCATAACTATTGCATTTTCTCAAGTCCTGGAAAGGTGGAGGGAGGAAAAACTGTTTCACTGATTTCAAAGCCTTTTAAAAATATTCATAGGCTCGGAATAGAGTCTGAAATGGTAATATAAGATGTACACCAACCTAAAAATGAGACTTACTCTGAAGAAAATATGTATAGAATTGGACTGTATGTTTATATAAAGATTTAAAAGTTTAAAAATGGTATTTCTATTTTCAAATGTATGTTTTAAGGTTAGTTTAGTGAATATTGATTTATAATTTATAACATGTATAATTGTATTTTTAATATTCATTATAAGGCATTCATGAATACAACAAGGCAAGTTTGAATTTCTTTAATGGTTTTAATACATTTTTCAAAACAATATATTTTCAATATTAGCTTTAAAAATCCTAAACTGCATTTTTTGTTTCTTAATCCCATTTGAAAGTAATTTACACAAAACTCTCTATTCACAAGCTCCAAATTGGTATAGATGTTATATTTTAAATATTACCCATGTTTATTTCCACATTAATGTATTGCTCAGCACTTGACAAGGGAACTTTTTAAAGATTTCAGCAACTGGCTCTGTAATTTAAAAAAAGAAAAAAACATTTTCTGGTGACAGAAGCTTCAGACAATTCCTTAAATTCTAGATCATCCTATTCAAGTAAAAGATGGCTTGTGTGACTATTATTTGCCTATATCAGTTAATTGATATAGCATTATCTGCATCAGGTAAATTGAAATCTCAAATCTAAGGTTGACAGCAGCATTCTCCTGGAAGTGATTACTTACTTATACTTGTTAAAGACACACTTGTTCAAAAAAAATTATGTTTGATACATGAAAATGGCCAAAAATTAAGAAGAATCATTTCCTGCTCCAGTCATGAAACAGGGCAGATCAACTTTCTTGAATGACAGATTGCAGATTCTGTTAAAAGACAGGCAGCAATACACTGTCAGTCAACCTCACTGAGACTTCTTTCCAATATGGATAAGAGCATTTTGTCACCTTATACACACCGGCTAATCTGGGACATTAGATCCAATACACATTGATGAGTGCTTACAGTTTTTCCTATTTCTTGTAGAGGAAGTATATAATGGCTCGGTCAGAATTATAGGATGTGATTTGCAATCTCTGCATATCATGTGGGACAGGAGCTCACCCCTCACTGTTGGAAATTGAAGGTTAAACACACATGGGCATACAGTCAGTCTGTCAGTCAGACAGACAGACTCATAGCCCTTTGGTATTCAATTTTCATATGGTTTGAAAATCCTTGAAATTAGTAATACAGGTAATACAAGACTTTTTTATTACCTCCCCTGCCACCAACCCTAATGCAATACATAGAATCGCAGTGTGCAGATTAGTGGCTCTGGGAGTTGAGGTTTGGACATATCTGGAGGACACTAATTACGGAAACCACCCTGAAAATGTGTTTACAATTGCAACTTGTTTTCCAATTGATTCCTATCAATACTACTGATAACTTTATTAAAGAGCCCTGCCTTTAATCTCATAATTAAACATACTTCTCATATAAGCAACTGATTGGATCCAATTGAAACACATTATGTCAATCCACTCAATTATATTTTTTTCTCAACTGTGTGCTTATCGGCCAGATCTATCTGTCTGTTACTTTGAAAATAATCATATACAATATATCAAGAAAAACCCTTCTCACCCCTATGTGCTGTATGTATCTTCTTCAATCTCAGGTCCTTTACCAGAGGCCTGGGGTTTTGAGGGTTTTGCACAATACCTTAATTGTTCCCAGCACTGCCTTCTTCCTACCACTGGGTTCTATATACAAGAGATATACAGTATGTTGAAAATAAAATGAAACAAAAAAAACCTACAGGTAGTCCTCAACTTACAACAATTCATTTAGTGACTGTTCAAAGTTACAATGGCACTGAAAAAAGTGACTTAGGACCATTTTTTACATTTACGACCATTGCAACATTCCCCATGGTCACATAATCAAAATTTGGATTATTGGCAACAAGTTCATATTTATGATAAGTGTAGTATCCCGAGGTCATGACAAGCAAAGTCAATGGGGAATCCAGATTTACTACTAACTTAACAAATACAATGATTCACTTAACAACTGTGGCAAAAAAAGTCGTAAAATGGGGCAGAACTCACTTAACAAATGTTTCACTGAGCAACATAAATTTGGGGCTCAATTGTGGTCAGAACCCGAGGACTACCTGTATTTCATGGCAATATCTCATGGGTTGAAATTGTTTAAAATTAAACATATTCTTCTGTTATCTGTATTTAAAAGTTGTTTCTAATTTACTATGCAGATATTTCATTCAGATTTCAAATAGAAGCTGAATTCAGATTAAATCAAAATAGAAAAATAAAAATAAAAACAAAACTGTCTGAACAATCCTCTCAGTATGTCTAAAGGGATCTAAATTACAATCAAATCAAATAAAGGGTTGACTCTCTCAAAAATATTGTAATAACTGGATGCTCATATTCTTGATGAGTTACTTCCCATTCCTTAAATAGTTCTGATGACCTCAGCATGACAATTCACAGCCTGGCAGAATTTGATTTTTGTTTGTGTAGTGTTTCTTTGAATAAAACTGATATTTATTTCCTCATCTTTACTTAATTTAAGCTATTTGAATTTTAACAGATGCAGGAAATTGCATTATTACGTATTTGTCCTGACGTTTATGCATTTAGATTGTCACAGCTGTGGCATGTAAGTGACTCAGATAATATGTTAGATGACAGTGGAAGTAGATATTTTTAAAAGAGCAGCTTACTTTGGTGCTACAACCATCAGCCATGAACAGAAAAAAATAGAATTATAGTAAAAATGGCTGGGAAAGAATTTATGGCATTTTGTCAAACCTTTTGTTCATACACACACTCTTCATACACAACCATACGCTCAAACACATGCTTCATTTTCATAGGCACCAAGAAGAACCAAATTCAATCTATATCAAAAGACCAGGAATTGAATTAGGAGTGTATCAGATATTGCTGCAGCTGCCAAAAAAGCCAACAGTTCTAGACTGCATTAATAGAGGGATGGAATCAAGATCATGTGAAGTGTTAATACCACTTTATAATGCCTGAGTAAGGCCACACTTGGAATACTGCATCCACAATGTTAAAAAAAAGATGTTGAGACTCTAGAAAGAATGCAGAGAAGAGTAACAAAGATGATTAGGGCACTGGAGGCTAAAACATATAAAGAATGGTTGCTGGAATTGGGTATGTCTAGTTTAATGAAAAGAAAGACTTTGACATGATAGCAGTGTTCCTATATCTAAGGAGTTGCCACAAAGAAGAGGGAGTCAAGCTATTTCCCCAAGCACCCAAGGGTAGGAGAAGAAGAAATGGATGGAAACTAATCAAGGAGAGAACCATCCTAGAACTAAGGAGGAATTTTCTGACAGTTAGAACGATTAATCTGTGGAAAACTTGACTCCAGAAGTTGTGAATGCTCCAACTACTGGAAGTTTTTAAGAAGAGATTAGACCATCATTTGTCTGAAACAGTATAGGATTTCCTGCCTAAGCAGGAGGTTGGACTTGAAGACCTCCAAAGCCCCTTCCAACTCTCTTATTCTATTCTATAGTCCTGAGAAGCAGAGGTTAAAGTTTAATTTAAAAAATAAATGTTAACATGGGGATTTCAAAGCACCTGGCTTATGAAGATTTTATCTGGAACCTGTTTTCTATATCAAAGGTAACTCCTGGGCTATAGGAGACGTATAGGTGAGTTTGCTCCCTTTTGATTAACCATAAACAGTTTTCATGGCAAGCAAGTAGCAACTCAAGACTGTAAGATGTAAGCCATTGGGCATCATCATTTTTTCGGAGTCCTATAGCCTACAGCTATAGTTACATGTTGCAATAATAGCATATTTGAATATAGCAATAGCAATAGCACTTATATACTGCTTCATAATGCTTCAGTCCTCATTTCACTGATCTTGGAAGGATGGAAGGGTGAGTCAACCTGGAGCCTGGTGAGATTCAAACTGCCAAATAGCAGGCAGCCAGCAGTCAGCAGAAGTAGCCTGCACTACTCCATTCTAACCACTGCACCACCACGACTCTTAATCTTGCATTTGAATCCTTCATTCATTTTTATTAGCTCCTCCACGATAATAAGTGAACTCATGAGCATTCTGCATTCTAACCACTGTGCCACCATGGGTCTTCTTCCATAAGGAAGATTGACTGAAGTTGCTGGATGAAATTTGCTGTACATAATTGCATGGGGTGGGGTGGGGAATCATTCTTTCTCTCCAGCAAATACTATTTTGCCAAGGACAAGCTGGTGGGCTCCTTTAGCTTGGATTGTAGCTCTGTTGGTGGAGTAAGATAACTTTCTCTTTGCTTCAAACCACGGCAGTAAAGCAGGGGGAATCTGAGACTCAGTCACTGGTAGTCCTTGATTTTCCACCACAATTGAACCCAACATTTTCATTTCTAAGCAAGGCAGTTGTTAAGTGAGTTGCGCCTCATTTTACAGCCTTTTTTGCCGTAGTTGTGAAGCAAATCACTGCAATTGTGAAGTGAATCTGTGTTTGTTAAGATAATCTGGTTTCTTCCACTAACTTTGCTTATTGGAAGCCATCTAGGAAGGTTACAAATGGTGATTATACGACCATGGGACAATGCAACAGTCATAAGTACATGCCAGGTGCCAAGCACTCACAT